TATATTTATAAAATAAATAAATAATATATTTCAATTACAACAATAAAATGTACATATAGTACCAAAATCAAAATTTTATAAATAAAATTTTATGAACAAAAATTATTCAATATAGACAGGACTACATAATATGATGATAGTATTTTTTTTATAACTAATAAAGTTTCAGTTTTAAAGTAACCTTTACTTTTTCAAATGGAATTATTTTTTTTTTACAAAATTTATATACAATAATGTCAATTCTTTATGAAAAATTTATTAACTTATGTCGAAAAAAAGTATTAATTTAAGAAATATTTTAATTTTATATTTTTAATATTAATTTTGCAAAACTTATGATATAAAAGAAAAGAAACACATAAAATTTTTCTTATGTTTTTCTTGTTTTTTATAGAATATATTTTACAAAAGTAAATATAAAATATTTCTGAAATTAATAGTTTTTCAACATATATACATAGTTTATCCTTTTTTTTTTATAAAAAATATTGAAATCTATGAATACCTACATTTAATTTGTTATTACAAAATATAATTTATTTTCTAATATTATCTTTAGATTAAAAGATATATAACAATTTGACATAGAAATATAAATATATATTTAAAATAATTCAATTAAATCATAATCTACATAAAAAATTTCTTAATTTCTTAATATCTAGTAATAGTGTCTAACAATACTAAATTCATAATTAAATTACTTATAAATATAAAATTATACTTTATTCCAAGAACATTGATTTTAAATTATAAAATCTCTAACTGAACTTGTAATTATTTATGACTAATAGATAAGAGTTCAGTATTGAATAGCACGCAAATACGAAATTATGTTTTAAAATGAATCCATTTAAATCCTGAAATCTAATCTAAATTATTATGATCGTTCATGACTCATACAAATTATAGCAAATTATATTTTACTTTAAGACAAATCGATTTCAAATTATAAAATTTATCTAATATTGTTAATCCAATCTATCAAAATTATATAATAATAATTAAATTATATAAATTAAACTATTTTGCTCAAAAAATAGATTATAATCAAAAATAGATCTTACATCAAATATTTTTTATCTATCTCAATGAATACTTTAATTCTTTAAAAATTCCTTATTCTCAATACTCATTATATTATAAAGTAAAAATAAGAATTTCAAAATAGAATATGAATTGAAAAATATCATCACACTAGAGTTAGAGATTCCTGCGTCAATCGGTCAAATATCATTATATTGTACCATATTTATAATTCGGATTGCCGTTTTTTACAGTGTAACGGAATGTCATATGATCGAATGTAGATATTGTAAGGAAATGTGTGCGTATTGAAACACGGTCAGGACTAACAGCGATGAGAAGCAGCAACAACAACAATAACGATCATTTTGGGGGGACACATATCAGCATGCAAAGCGTATATAGAATGTGAACGATAATTAACATGCACGGCACGAGCGTACGATCAATCGAAGTAAAAGCGATCAAAGCTTGAAAAAACGCTGATACGAAAAAAAAAAAAAAGAAAAGAGAGAAAAATAGAAAAAAAATGGTTGGTGTTTTCCATCTATGCTGATGCGACAATTCAAAACAATCTCTCCGGTTTACGGAGAAAATTTTCAACAACCTTCTACCAGAATGCTAAAAAGAAAACATAGAAATATCAGTCGCTTGACACTCCATTTCATGTCAGAGAGAAATTGTGGGGAAAAAATCGTGGCAGCAGGCTATTATAAGTGAGAATTTATGCAACTTGCGACGACCACAACAAGAACAGTCAACATAAACAAATGCGAAGCATTTCCTCGATACAAATTGCTGTTTGTACGCAAGATGCGACGACTCAGCGTTATTTCTTGCGAGCAAAGAGCTTATATCACAGATATTTACTTGATCGAGAGAAAATTATTCGGTCGAAGGCATCGTGGACTATCGGAACGAGAATAAATTTGATCGAAAGCAATTGTGGCGATTTCGTTCGGATCTTATTTTGAGAAACAAAGAAGAAAATGCACTTTGTAAGATGTGATGTAAGATCTTTCATTCGTTGGCTATCAGCATGTTTTTTGAACGGTTTCTAAATGTTTTATACGCGAATCTATCTCTTTTTTAATAGTCCAGATTGTTATCATCTGGTAATGAATTTTCACATTTATTAAAATAATTAATATTTTTAACTGTTTGTAATTATTTTGTTATGGGACACAGAGTAAAAATTTAAATTAGATCCATTATAGATTCATAATTTTAAATTCATTTTAAATTCAATTTGAAAATTTTTTATTTATATATTTTGAGATTATTTTGACCAATTGATTATCAAAAATTATATATTATATTTCCTTTATAGAATTTATTATATATTTATTATATTTCCATTATAGAAAAATATGAAGAAGAGGAAAAGACTTAGAAAAAGCAAATCAATTTTCAATTACATACTATAAGTTTATTATATTATATATTAGATATTTAGAATATGTATTTTTTTTATTTTTTTTTTTATTTTATATATATATATATTAAAATTTCTTCTATTTGCATCATTTTTTTTCATGCACTTTTTTTAATTTTTTTTTCTAAGTAATTTTAACTTTTATTATCAATTTTTTTGTAGAAAAATATTCGTAATATCAGTTTTCCATTTTAAATTGCTGATTTATTTAATA